CTTTGCTGTTATGCTCTCATTTTCCGCCCAGTGATGAGCAGAAAATGAGCGCTAATGGTTGCACCATTGGTTTCAGAGCATTTTGATGCGAGAATGTGGATGGACTTCAAAACGATTTTCGCAAGAAATTGGCCGAAGTAGACGAAGAAATCAGAAGATCAAGAGCATAGTGAGCATCGTGATATCTTTTTGTTGTTAGCTTCGAATATACCATTTCTGTCCATTTAAAATTACTCCATGTTATAGCAGTCACATAAACTCACGGAGTTCTTCCCGACAGTCCGTCAACCAATTTCCAATTATGCTTTTAAAAGCGACGTGCTTGCACAGAAGCACAGCCGGCGAGAATGGGCTGCACTGCAGCGACTACGAGTGAATGCCAGACTCTACGATAAGACAGAAGTAAGTTGTAGATAGTCGAATTTAGCTAATAGTTGTTTTGTTATCATAACTGCTGTGCAGCGCCGCAGTTCGCGCTACGAAAAAAACACAAGAGTGCTGAGTGATAGGCAAAAGTTCCCGACCCCAAGCGGGACTAGAACCCGCACATCACGCTTTCCGGGCCTGCGCGCTATCAGTCACCCCGTCAAAGCCTTTCCTTAGCCTCATTGACGGATTTATGGCGTATCATTACAAAACTCACACGTTTAACAGCGTGAGGTGCAGGTATGAGTGTCGCCTGGGGTCAAGACTTTCCCTATAGCTCGGCATTCTGCGTCTAGCCATTTTTTTTCTTGTTCCACATGTCGATGTTAAGGTTACTCCCGATGACCCTAAAACATGTACCAAGCCAAACGACATTCGACGGCGACCTCCGAAAAGGTAACTATTTTGGGAAATATTAATCACCCCAGCTACTTTTTCCAGTAGTAATACCGCCCGAGTGAGTGCTGCTTCATTCTTCGGGGGCTCCAAATTTTCTATGTTCATATTTCTGGAATGTTTGCGGGTTTTTGAGACTATTTTGATCACATTTTGAAGCTCATCCTAAATTTTATTCTGATTTATTCAAGCTCATAAACAAGCTGTAAACATTTTTCGTTTCAGTTCTATATCTGAAAACATCTGGCAATAAGTCCACGCTGTCATGTCGATCTGTTGACAGTAATCATTGCACGAGATTTTTGATTAAATGCAGCTTTTTCAGGAGGCTTGCCGAAGGGCTCACTTAGCTGTCCGTCCTCTAAATGCAAAAGACTGGAGGATTCTCCCAACTCTGGCTCATCCGTGCAAATCATTGGAGCCTAACCTCACGCAGAACTAACTGAGGCAGGAGCGTGGGTCGAGGTGACCATTTGCAATGGGAAATAAGCCATCAGGATTGTTTTGAAGCACTGATCTAGAATCTGCATCTCGAATATGCGAAGTCTTCTGGCGCTCTTAATGTAGAAACGGACATTGAAACGACCCCTTCGCGTAAAATTAGATTTATCGTAATGGAGATACTTTTGCAGTTCTGCCCAAACTTCAAAAGGGAAGAACTCCGGGAAAGGTGAACCTCTTAAAATGCGGTAACTCTATTTAGATGATGTTACCCGCAGTTTTGCACAACTGCATGTGTCCCTCCAAAGTTTCCAGGGCCACTTTCCTTGGAACTTTTACGAAGCCCTCCTCAGTCATTTCAGCATAGTCATGTGTGGGTGGCAGCGTGTCTTGCAGGTCAAAGGAGACTTTCAGATTCGATTATCTAACTCGATTGAGGAGAGGAATTGCAGAGCTAACGTCCTTGTCCTAATCCTCTAGTTCTTTTTTCCTTGGTTTTTTTAGACTTTTCAGTCATGAACTCTCAAATTCGCTCTCGGAAAGGCACTTGGACAATATCTCAGACATTGTAGTTCGGCGCTATTCGGCTTGGGGATGAAGGGAAAAACTGTTCCGCTGGTTTTTCATTACAGTAATTCACAAGTTTTCGCAGTAGGTATCAGCAGTGATCAATAGGAATCCACAAAATGCCCCCAGGAGGTTAAACTACACCATCTCTTCTTTGAACTCTTATGTAAGGTACGATGCCACCAATTCGTCACCGTGTTAAAGATCAGGTTAAAAAAAGTCCGTGGCTTTGCGTCGTTTGGCATATTCGTAAACCAGGTTGGAGATCAGAGTTTGAAGAGAGCCCCGGTGGTATATATCTCATTCAAGATTCCCACTCGACCATCGGCTCCTTCTTAGTTGAGTTCGATCTGTACCGCATGCGAACATATTTCAGATTCATTTTTTCCTCAGCATTTTGATGTACCAGTTTCTGTGAAACGTGTATTTTTGAACACTGTTTGCACTGGCTTGTTTGCTCGCTTGTATTTGGGTTTCTATTCTGTAGTTTCTTTTTTTTCAAGCAAAAAAAACATTAATTTACATACTTCTGATGTCTGTTGTTGTACGTGTGTTCCTCGAAGAGGTACCATCGATCAATTTTAGACGGTTTCTAAACTTCGTATGACGATGTATTGCTCAGATTGTATAATTTGTTGCTTTCTTTTCGTCAAACTCTTACGGTCAGCTTTATGCTAGCGTTTTGTTTGAGTGTGTTGTAGTTTTATAGGTGATGATAGAAATTCAAGAACTTTACTTAGTTTCTAATCTCTTCAATTTTGACCTACGCTTTTTTTGAAGGAGTCTATTCAGATTTGCTACATGTTATGCTAATACTAATGTGTTTAATAATGTGTAATGTGTAACATACGAGAGCTATTTTCGACATATACTATTTTTTTCCTAGCGATAGATTTTTATGACCCACTATCACTATGTAATAATGTTTTGACAGAATTTTATTCGCTAGATAGGCCGATCATTCCGAATTTCTCTGGAGAACTTTTCTTTCTTGTCATAAATAAATGTGTGATTTTTGTCAGTTCTGTTCTGGTTTCTGAATGTGTTCTTTGCACTTTTACCTTGGTCTTAACATGAAGGTTGTGGACACGAGCTGGGGGCGAGCAGTTGCTGAAAACGTTGTTGGTGGAAGGTTGCGAGAGAGCCTTTTTTAATGCCATCACTTAGACCTTGCACCAATGAAATGGGCGGCAACCGCCCGCCCCAGCAATCGTATCCATTGCCTTCAAGTCTCAGCTTATTTCTTATTAGTATTAATGTCATAACAAGGCTTCCAGAAATGGCCATGCTAGCGTTACCTGGTACTGCAGGCTTGACAGCTAATCAAGATGAACAGGTAGTAATTTCGAGTGATCTGACTTATTAACCGTAGTTATCCTGTTTAATTATGTGGAACGAGGCGCAATTTCATTAAGTTAAGGCATTTTGCTGCAATACTTCAAAACCGAAAATGGGCGCTGTTGGTTTCAGAGTGGGCTTTAGGCAGTTTCGCTGGTTCTTTTGTTAGGTCATGATAGTTAACAGTTGAACTCTTGAGAAGCTGCAAAATGGTGCAAGAAAGCCACTAGTGAAAGGAGTGCAGAGATCTTCACAAGGCGATCCGAACAAGGTCTGAGTACCATTCATTGCTCCCACCGTGCCGAACTGCGCCAAAAAAAACGCACAAACCAAGTCGTCCCATTGTCTCTTCCGTCTCTCTTCTGAGCTCAGGGAAGAAGTTTTGCGGTGGTGGACGGCGAGCTTCCCACCTCTGCTAGCTTCTTGTCATAGATTTACGTTCATGGTTCCTGCAAACGATAGGGTGTGTGACGCGGCGCACATTGGAGCGCAGCCGGAGCAGCCTTGTTCCAACAAAGATGCCATCCTGAGCCCGCCTCAGTCGGTGAGAAATCTGCCGTGGCTGCGCTCCCAACCACACCTCTGTCACACATCCTGTCAGTTGCAGGAGTTATGGCTGCGTATAGTTCATATAAAAGAAGTCCGACGAGGCGGTGTTAGGAAGTGTGGTATGACCCCACTCGTGGTGTTTTCTACCACTGATTGCTTCTTGCATGAACCGGCCATCAGTGGTAGAAAACGCAGCCGCGGGCGGTCTCACTCCACGCCTGGCACCTTCCCACAGGATTGTGACGATATCAACTAGACGCCATCAAAGCTCTGCAGAAAAATGCCTATCTTATTGGAGTAGCGCTTTAAACGATCACTCACATTCTATTTCATCTCAATAATTAAATTCATAATTAGTGTCTCGTGGATGCACTTCCATATCTCGATACGGAGTACAATGATGCTGACCGTCAAACGGCCCTGAGATTGATCGATCAGGAATGCAAGGTTAGTCGACGAAATTGATCTGGGCAGTTTTTAACTGGTAAACATATCGTATCGGAGGGATTGTGTAATGTTTTTACATGTGAAACTTCTAGTTTTACAGGACTCTCGTTACATGCCCAAAAGTCAGATGCAGTAACTATTGCATCTCCCTTAAAAGGGTACAATACTGTTTGGAGGGGTTATGTGGTATGGTTCTAACTTCCCCTTGGGCCGTGTTCATCTCTTCCAGTGCAAGAGAACTGGTGAATCGGGGCAGTGGGAGAACTAGAGAATCCGCGAAAAGGGAAGCATATATAGATCAAGGAATCTGCGAAAAGGACTGCATAGCGATCGATTACCGTCGTCACGTGAAGAACTCAAAGTTGAGAGCCGAAAATCAGTCTATGTATGCTTTCCCCAAGAGATTCTGCGGGGCTGCTGCACGCACTTGGCTCCAGTACCGTTGGTGTAGCTAAGCGTCTATTAGTTAGCACAAACTGCTGGAATTATTGAATCCTTTTTCCTATTGTGTTTTTGCCCAGTGTATGGTTTTTGTTGTTATAGATTTTCCGCCCGACCAAGAACTACTTGAAGCACTTACCTGTGCCAGATTTTGATGTATTCCTTACCCCATGTATGCTCAAAGAGCAGGCGAGGATGTCTAAGAAACAGGTGAGTCTTCTGAACTCCGAAGGGATCAAACTAAAGATTGCGTCAGCTCTCAAGAGATTTGTTGAAGGAGATGCCAAAGCTGGACATGAGTCGATGTGAACTACCATGTCCATCGGGTACATCACGAGCTGGTGATAAAGTACAAGTGGAGGAAGGTATGAATAGCTTCATTGAGTGCTGCTGCTTTGAAGTCATCGGAAATGATTTCAGGCGATAAAAAACGCAAAAGCACAGAATGAGCATCTTGTAATGAGACAAATAAATCTCGAGCTGATGGAAGAATACGCCGCAGAAACCTATCTACGAAGGAACAAGGAACTGGAGCAGTTGTGCACCGAAGCTGAGCGAGAACTCAGACGTACTAAAGAGCAAGTAAGTGGACATTCATTTGAATACTGTGATGGAGATAAATTAGCCGATCGTCATGAATGTCGTCGCTCAAGGTAGCGGTGCAGGATGTTTTCAAATTGAGCCTGTTTTTGGTTGTAAAACGTTTGAACGTCGAAAGGCCATGGTTTTCAAATAGTCTGCTTTTTCTAATACGGTCATGTAAGGTGGCGAGGGGCCCATGCCTGCGCACCCGCGAAGAAAATTAGGTCACCACACGCAGGAAATTGTGATGAATTCGGATTACTTATACAAGTCGCGCGTCAACTTTCTGTTTTTTCTCTGCGTTCTCTTGTTTGAAGGACATTCTAATAACCACTCCTGCGCTTTATCATACACTCACTTTCACATCATGATAAAGTGCTCATCCCCCCCGCCGCGGAGTTTGAAAGCTCTTTTGAAAAAGCCATGTCGTTGGTCACGAACCGTATATTTTTTTGCAACATCGATGCCTGGCAGCCTCCAGTGCCGTTCCCTGCCTTGGCGCCCAGGGTTCTCACCTGAAGAGTCTAGTTGTCGCTGCTGGTGAGCATGGCCCGCGTTGCCGCCATACGTGACCCTCCTCATCAAAGCGTCTACTGTATGCTCTTTAGAGGCTAGGGACTTCTCCCTGTAACTTATTAGATGTGAAAGATTCGTGAGAAGGTTATGCAACGTTATCGCACAAAAGTTTACCGCACTTTTCCTTGCACACGCTTGATCCTGATGGCGATCGCTCTAGTTGCGAGTTTAGGTGATGGAGATTCATGCTAGACGTAAAATGGCACAATTGGAAGCTGGACGACAGTTGAGAGAGCTCGAAGGCAGTTGGGTAGCTATGGTTACCAACAATTACAGGTGAGCTATTTTAACTACTGTGGCGCATGGCTTGAAGTACAGTTAATCTTGAGAGATAGATTTATACCGTCTATTTTAGTGGTTCGGGTGAAGCTTGAAAGTGCTATTGCTGCTGTTAGTGCAGCTTCTCCTTATAGTTTGGTGCTAGCATGTATTCATGCATTCGAATGCACGTGAATTGCTTTGCAGATGTCGAAGGCGCGGCGCATTTCAAAATTATTTCCAAATATTCGCAATATTTTCGATTAGCACTGCTCGGTTTTTGCTAGTTCCGTAATTAACAGGACCCATTTTGGTGATACCTGTGAACTCTTGGAAAGCTGAGGAATAGTACAAGAGAGCCACGTGATTACAGGAATTTACAGACCCCACAAGGTCCAGTATACAGACTTCTATGTGTACCATTTATTGCCCCTACTAAGCTTTTTCTATTTTATTCAGCGGTGTTGAGTGAACGTACAATTTCAGAATGGAGCTCGCCAACAACCAGTTGGCGGCTGAGAATGCACAAATGGCTAAAAGACTACGGCTCGATCCAGCAGCAATTGATAAACTTAGCTAGTTTGTATTTTTCATGTGGTCTCGTGTTGCTTTTATTCACTGTAAATGACCTGTTATGTCTGATTTTCCTCTAATAAAGCTGTTGACATTACTAAATAAGGTTTTGATTCGGAAGGATTGAGTGATGGATTGGTGCCAAAAACATGCTGGCTGAGCTTTTGTTCTTTTTTACTGAGGAGCAGGATGTGTATTAGAGTTTGTGTGATGGGCATTGGAGAAATTTCAAGGACGCAGTTGTACAGGAATCGCTTCTTATTGTTACTTGATAGCTATCCAGAACTGCTTCTGTTCTGTTTTTCATACCTGTTTTGAATTTGGTTTTTTCAAAAACAATGTGGACACTTCGAACCGGAGTGGTCCTTTTTAGGCAGCGTTCAGACTTCGCAACGGCAGCGCTTCGGTCGCGCGTTCGACGCGATTACAGGGCACATCGTTGTTGGGAGTCCCCAAATGGGGGTCGTATTTGGCCGCCACGAGAAGGGAGGGGGTTGATTTGGGCTGGAAAAATTTATTTTGATAGTTGATTTTTCTCGCTTCACGGACGTTGTAAAGGGGGGGGGGTCGTACTTGGTCATTGTTGGGAGGTCGTATTTACGTTTTGGCGTTGTAGGAGCGGTGGTTGACTTTTTGTGATTTTCCTGTTTCGTATGTACTACATACCCCCTCGGTACGGCTCGATCTGTTGAGGAGGGACAGAGGACCAGAGGGGGG